AAGGCAGTGGCTTTCACCTGTCCTCTGACACCTGCTTTATAATGACTCTATGTACAAATACATTTAAGCCTGGGAAGCAGCTTCTGTTTCACATCTTTAATCACCTGAGGGACCATGCACTTCCTGAACTTTGTAAAATCCTCTTACCTTGTGATAACGAGCCACCAGTTTCCCTTCTGAGTCAAAGACAACGTTGGTATTGTACTGATAGTGACCATCACTTGGGCACCTTGGATCACTGCCATTACAGGGCTTCTTGTCTGCCATATTCGCAACCACATAGATGGAGTTATTCCTCCTCAGTCTTTCCAGCACTGGTGAGGGAGTAAACCTAAACAGCAGGGAAGGAAGAAAGAAAATAAAACAAAACACCAAAACCAGTCAATCCATAAAAATGCCAACACTAACACTACAGATCACAAGAATGATAGGTTTAAGTTAGTCATTTCTAATACAAGACTGTCGTTTTCTGTTATTGAACAGAAGGCAGCGGTTTTGTGCTTAAAAGCTTAGCATGCTGAAACTCCAGCTTCACCTCACGTTAGATAAATGAGGGACACAGGGATCTCCTTGCAGTAAAAGCAAATCTTTGCACCTTCAAGTCTCCCTTCTGCTGCCGGCGTGTGGTACAGCGTTGATGTTACACCAACACATGGGCTAATCTCAGCTTTCTGCTTCAGCTCTTGATTCAGCTGCTGCGCTGAGGTAGCTTAAGATTTGTTTCTTCTACGGTGCATTTTGTTATCTTTCACCAAATATTGCAGCCTCAAAAAATGGTGCAATTTATTAAGGAAAATAACAGAATAAAAAGGCTACCACGTCATGATTCACAAATACAGATTTGAAATTGTGCAGTATATCCTTTCACTAGTAGCTGTTATTTTATTCACAAATATTCCTAATATTTCTGTATCTTAAACATTTTCTACAACATACATGGAATACATTACTGAAATGTAGATTCTGGTTTTTTTTTTCTTTTAAATAAATCTCAACCTTTATGAGTACACTAACTAAAATCAAAAGAATTACAGCGAGAAAAAATGACAAAGAAAAATTATGAAGGAAGTTGTCTAAAGCTATTTAAGGCAACTACATGATGTCTAACCTGCCTTCATTTCACAGCAGTTGTTCCAAGACATCTAAAACTATCAAAAACCACTCCTAAAGGTAGCCATCTTTCCCATTGGACCGTTGCACAGCAGGGACAATACCTTCCAGGAGCAACATATGGAATCCAGTCCACCTGGGGGTCTGGGATATCCTCAAGATAAGGGTGTATTTTTTCCCTTGTGAAGACCCAGATGTAAATGCCATCTTCAGGAGTCACAATGATATTGCACCCTGGTACCAACATACAAACCCAAAAAACACCATTAAGAAAATTAATAAATGGTCAGTGTTTACCAAAATGAATGTGTCTAACTCTGTCATAATACCTGTCTGGCTACTTCTTTGATGGCTGTTTCCAAAATTACTGTGTTTTTGTCCATCAGCACCAAGGCCTCCTCAGGACAAACCGGCACTTCAGTGTCCTCCGACAAGACCACGTTGTGCTCGTAGACAGCTGCGACGTAGCTGTCCAGGGCACAGGCCTCCAGAGCAGACAGCACCAAAAGCACGGCAGAGGCACGAGCTTTAGGAAGCCCCATGTCTGGAGCCTGGAAGTCGCCCAAGAGGAGGATGGGGCAAGCAAAGCCAGGGGGCTTTAGAAGGGAAAGTCTTGCACAAAACCTGGGAATTCCCCAGAGTAGCAGAAACCCGACACCAGGAGATGCAATCACCCTGCTTGGAAAGTCTCACATCAAAGGCAAGAGAGTCGTCAGCATTGAGCAATTCTGCCTTACACCACCGACAGGGAAGTCACCACTGAGCTGCAGCTGAAGAAACAACGTCGCTTGCCAGATTAACAGTTCAGGCGTGACATTGCTGTAGTAATGCAGCTCAAGGCGGAAGTCACACAGAAGTCACCACTGTGCTGCAGCCGAAGAAAATCATCGCCTGCCAGATCTGCGAATGATTCAGGCGTGACATTGCTGTAGTAATGCAGCTCAAGGCAAGGCCGGGTCACAGCAGGAAAACAAGCCAGAGTTCGGGAAATCTCAGCAAGGACCAGCACAGACACATCCCTGGGCAAACCGGAGGGCACGGGGTGCAGGCAGGGCTGCAGGAGGCAGGCAGCCGGTCCCGAGCTCGGTGCTGCTGCACGGGCATTACCTGTGCCACCCCAGCTCAGGGCTGCTCCAATCTAGCCGAGCGTAGTTTGGCTATACCTGGCACAGTCCTTACTTATCACAGCTTCACAGATCGTACAACCGTGTCAGTAACAGCAGATGGGTATTTAGACCTGCCACCGCATGAGACAAGCACAGCACTAGCCAGGGGATTGCCGAGTTTCCCATAGGAGATCCCGCTGCTCTGCTTTAACCATGGTTCCAGGACTCCTGGATAATCATGGCAGGAAAACATGCTTCTGAGTTGATTTGAACAACAAACCTGGAAACCAGGATTCCTCTTCAGGTTTCTTTCGCCTCCATTGTGTACATGAAAGAATGAAGAGGGGCGAAGATGTGTTGCCAGAAATCTAGGGGGGTTAGTTAAGCCTGTCTAGTTTCTATTGGAGGTCTTGTGAAGTTCATGCATTGCAGGACAGCTCATTAATGTCAACGACATTTGTGCTTTTTCTGGTAATCCTGGCCACTTCAACTTCTTGACACAGCTGGTAAGTGAGCCTACCAGGGGCGGTGCCTCGCTTGACCTGCTGTTTACAAACAGAGAAGGACTGGTGGGAGATGTGGTGGTCGGAGGCCGTCTTGGGCTTAGCGACCATGAAATGGTAGAATTCTCAATTCTCGGTGAAGTAAGGAGGGGGGGCAGCAAAACCACAACCATGGACTTCCGGAGGGCTGAGAGAGTCCCTTGGGAGACCATC